AAATTTGGTTTATGGGCCAAGGTATTATTGACCATTTGGAACAAGGGGTAGAAGATGTTTAAGAAAATGGGAAGACAATTTGGAAAAGGGTGGATGCACAACTTTGTAGTCACCTATGGCAATCCCTTTCACCTGAGTTAATTCAACTGTTTAGAGTTTGTAAAACATGTGTTGAGGTATGGAATCAAGCAAAATCCTTGTACACTAATGATATTTCACAATGTTACACAGTTGTTGATAATTTGGTTAACTTAAAGAAGGATGGTGTGAGTATGGAAGCCTTCCTTGGGAAAACTCAAAGTTTATTAACAGAGTTTAATAAGCTTTTACCAATTGCAGGGACAGCTACTGAACAGGCTGCTCAATGGAAAAATTCTTTGTTATTCTTGTTTTGTCTAAATTAGGCCCCGAGTTTGAGAATACTCGAAACCAGATTCCTGGGGATAGGGTTGTGCCAGGGATCCAAGAATTGTTCAAACGCCTTCTTCAAGTGACTTCTTTTCCTGGTGAAACTCCTGCACCCAACACAAGAACAATCTGCTCTTGTGATCCAAGGAGGCCGAGGTAACAATCTGGGCAACCAGAATAAAGATCGTAGTGGGCAGAAAAACGCTAGATATTGTGATTACTGCAATAAATCTAGACACACACGAGACCGATGTTGGAAGCTACATGGAAAATCGTTGCATACCCCTACAAATGTGGCTCAGTTTAAACAAGAAGAATCAGGTTCTAAGACTATCTCTCTTGCGGAATATGAAGAGTTTGTCGGTTTAAAGCTAATGCCCAAGCTACTGTTGTCACTCCTTTGGCTCATCCCGGAGAGACTCATACTGCCCTTGTTTCTCAATCTGGACCTCTTGGACCATGGGTCCTTGATTCAGGGGCCTCTGAACATATATGTGGTAATTCCTCTTTATTGATTCACCTTACAAACTCTAAGTCTCTTCCGTCTATTGTGTTTGGTAATGGATCCATATGTACTGCCAACTGGGTTGGTAAAGCAAAACCTCTTTCTAATTTACCTTTGTCATCAGTTTTGTATATACCTACGTGTCCTTTTAACTTGATTTCCATTCGTCAACTTACTCACTCTCTAGATTGCCTTGTCACCTTTTCTTCTGATTCGGTTATTATACAGGACCGTCGTTCGAGGAAGACGATTGGCTCGGGGTATGAATCAAAAGGATTATACCGTCTATCCACTCCTGGTTCCGCTTTCTGTAGTGCTACTGTTCCTCCCTCCCTTGCTCATTGTCGTCTAGGTCATCCAAGTTTGAGGAAACTACAACAACTTGAATCGAGTCTATCAAAGTTGCCTTCACTAGAGTGTGAATCTTGTCAATTGGGAAAACATTCAAGAACCTCCTTTCCTGAACGGGTTAATAAAGTATCCTCATCCCCTTTTTCCTTAGTTCACAGTGATATATGGGGACCTTGTCGTGTCACTTCTTTGTTGGGTTTTAGGTATTTTGTTACTTTTATTGATGACTTTTCTCGTTGTACTTGAGTTTTCCTAATGCAACGACATTCTGAAGTGTTCAACATCTTTCAAAAGTTTCATAATGAAATTAAAAATCAGTTTGGAGTGTCTATTAAAATTCTTCGGAGTGATAATGCCAAAGAATATTTCAATACTCCTTTGTCTACCCTTCTTGACTCTGAGGGTATTTTCCATGTGTCTTCCTGTCCAGATACCCCACAACAGAATGGTGTGTCTAAACGGAAGAATATGCATCTAGTGGAAACTGCTCGGACTATGCTTCTTCACTACAAGGTTCCTTCTTATTTCTGGGGAGATGTTATCCTTCTTTCATGTTACCTTATTAACTGTATGCCATCATCTGTTCTACACGGCAAAATACCTTATAGCATACTATTTCCTCAAGAGACATTACACAAGCTCCCTCTTAAGGTTTTTTGTTGCACTTGCTTTGTCCGGGATATTACTCCTGGTCGTGATAAACTATCACCCAAGTCCTTGAAATGTATTTTTGTGGGGTATTCTAGGGTTCAGATGTTATTGCCCTGACACACGGCGATTCTATGTATCACCAAATGTTACCTTCTTTTAGTACACTCCATTCTTTTCATCTGACTATGCAGGGGTTGTGGATCCTTTTCCTGAGGTCCTACCAGTCCCCTCGTTTGAAGGAGGGATATAAATACCACTATCTCCAGGTGTCCCACCTTCCAATACATCACAAACCCATACTATTTCTCCTTTCCGGTTCACCTATCATCGTCGGTCAAAATTACCACAAACCACTACTGCTACAAACATTGAACCTGCTGATCATCTCCTGGGCGGTCTCTTCCCTCGGATCCGGTTCCTGCTCCAATCTCTAGTTCTCCCATTGCGGGTCGAGTAGGTAACAGGTCTACTCGCAATCCCTACCCTATATATAATTTTGTCTCTTAACACCGTTTTTCCCCTGTTTATAACGCTTTCATCTCCAGTTTATCATCTGTTTCTGTTCCTAAATCGGTTGAGGAGGCTCTTTCCCATCTTGGTTGGCAACAGGCTATGGTAGATGAAATGGCTGCTTTGTATTCCTTGGGAACTTGGGACTTGGTTCCATTAACTCCTGGAAAAACGGTTGTTGGTTGTCGATGGGTTTATAATGTCAAAGTTGGACCTGATGGACAAATAGATAGACTCAAAGCTCATCTCGTAGCAAAGGGGTATACTCAAGTATTTGGCGTTGATTACACCGATACATTCTCACCCGTGGCCAAGATCTCTTTTGTCAGAATCTTTCTATCTATTGCTGCTATACATCATTGGCCTCTATACCAGTTAGACATCAAGAATGCGTTTTTACATGCGGATTTAAAAGAGGAAGTGTATATGGAGAAACCTCCTGGTTTCGTTGCTCAAGGAGGGGAGACTGACCTGGTTTGCAAATTAAAACTCTCTCTCTATGGATTGAAACAGTATCCACGTGCCTGGTTTGGACGTTTTAGCACAGTACTACAAGAGTTTGGGTTAGTTCAGAGCAAAGTGGACCATTATGTGTTCTACAGGCATCGACAAGGTAAGAGCATTTATCTTGTTGTTTATGTCGATGATATTGTGATCACAGGAGATGATGCAGAAGGAATACTCCAGTTAAGGCAACATCTTTTCCAACACTTTGAGACAAAAGATCTTGGAAAATTGAAATACTTCTTAGGGATCGAAGTTGCCCAGTCAAAGCAGGGGATTTGTATATCTCAACGAAAATATGCTTTGGACATATTAGAGGAAACGTGTATGCTTGATTGCAGACCAATTGATATTCCCATGGATCCTAACATTAAGCTTGTACCGGAACAAGGGAACCCCTTTTTAGATCCAGGAAGATATCGAAGATTGGTTGGGAAATTGTTGTACTTAACAGTCACTCGCCTCGACATTTCTTTTGCAGTTAGCATTGTGAGTCAATTTCTGGCCTCTCTGTGTGATAGTCATTGGGATGCTGTCATTAGGATTCTAAGATACATCAAGAAGTCTCCAGGAACTGGTGTGTTATACAAGGATCATGGAAATACAGAGATTATTGGTTATACTAATGCAGATTGGGCTGGATGCCCTTGGGATAGAAAATCAACATCAGGATACTGTGTTTTTCTTGGTGGCAACCTAATTTCTTGGAAAAGTAAGAAGCAAAATGTAGTGGCTCGATCAAGTGCAGAGGAAGAATATCGGTCAATAGCCTTGGGAACATGTGAACTAATCTGGTTGAAGCATCTCTTGACTAAATTAAAAATTTGTGTGAAAGGGCCAATTAAACTGATATGCGACAATCAAGCTTCTTTGCATATTGCGTCCAATACTGTCTTTCATGAGAGAACAAAACACATCAGGTCGATTGTCATTTTATCGTGAAAAGATCACATCCGGGGAAATTGTTACCTCATTCATGGGTACAAATGATCAGTTGGCTGACATCTTCACCAAAGCTTTAAGAGGTCCCAGAGTTGAATATTTGTGTAACAAGCTTGGAGCTTTTGATATTCACGCTCCAGCTTGAGGGGGGATGTTGAGATGATTTATTTATTGTATTTACTATGATTTTATTGTATGTCTGTTAGTATCCCTAAGGTTTATTGTATGTCTGTTAGGGTCTTTTAGCTTTCCTTTCACTGCCTATATATTGTGGTCAGTTCTTTTGGGTAAATACAGAATATATACAATTTCCTTCTTCAAACTTCTTCAACACTCACGAAACACAGTGTGTATTTACTAAAATGAGAGAATTAAAACAAACACAATTTAAGGTATTTGGAAAAGTAACCATTGCTGCGTTGCTAATTAGTGACTTGCAATATGATTAGAGTATCGTGGCAATGATTACTTTTCCAAATACTCTAGATTGTGTTAGCTTTATTTCTCTCATTTTAGTAAATACACATTGTGTTTCGTGATAATATGTATATTGTTTTATGGTGAAGGTGAGATAAATCTTAAAGGACTTTTCATTAATTGTTATGGTTGTTTGAATTATGATTATGTTGGCTTGACTGATTACATTATTGTTTTTCATTAGTCATGTTGTCTACAAAAAATTCACCTATCCCGCAAAACCCACATACTTCAAGTAGTGTTGTTTGTGAAAGTAATGAAGCTAATAATGAAGTGCAAGAACAAACTGAAGGATTTGAAAGAATATAATTACATTTATATGATCATGATGACGCATAACAAAATGAAGAAGCAGAAAACCAACAAGAGTTTCTAACAAACAAGAGGAAAAAAAAAAAAAAACCTTAGGTGTATGGGTTGATTTTCAACTGATCAACGTAGATCGAATACAGAAGGTAAAATGTAATTATTGTCATCATCAATTTGTATTAACTAAAACGGCCACGACAACTAGCTATAAGAAGTATTAAGGCAAATACAAATTTAAAGGTTACCACTTAATTTTCCTTAGCTTAAATGTTAGCTAGATGAAAATAAATATATATATATATATATATATCAATAATAGTAATTGTATTGGTTTTGTAGGTGGTTGATCAACAAAAAAAAGTTAAATTTTTTTGTCTAGTGATGAAGTTTCATCTTCCATTCCTCCATTACATCTTGGAAAGTTTGACATGGAAGTAGTGAGGGAGTCTGCTGCTCACTAGATCGTGATACATGAACATCCATTTACTATTTTGGAGGAAGTAGGATTTAACATCATGATGAAATGAGGAATGCCATAGTGGAAAAAAAATTAATAGAAGCACAAGAAAATCATATTGTTTGAACGTTTATGAGATTGAAAAGAAAAAGTTGAAGAACAATCTTGAATGTGTTAGTAAAGTAAGTTTGACAAACGATTGTTGGACATCAAAATATCATAAAATTGAGTACATGGTTGTCACTGGGCACTGGATTGATTATTGTTGGAGATTGCATAAGAGAGTTTTAAGTTTCATCAACATTGCACCACCGATGAGAGGTCTTCAAATATCTAATGCTATATTTAGGTGTATAAAAGAGTGGAGCATTGAAAAGAAAGTTTTCACAATTACAGTTAGTAATGCTTCACGTAATGATTCTGCTATTCGGTATGTTAAATATAAACAGTTATAGAAGATGGAAAGGCATAGAAATAAATAAACTAGGAAGTGAAGAGTTGTAAAACTGTCCATTGTGGTAGTATATATATCTAACTGTAGCAGTGAAGAAGAGCACACAGAAAATAGAACAAACACATTGCCTGATATCCTCTCTTTCTAGCAACATGGTATCAGAGTCGGCGAGAGTGAAGTAGTGGGCCGTGCTCGGAAAGAAGAGGTGACGCTGGAACTCGAGCCGCACCGCCATCGGAGCTTCCACGCGCCACTGCCGTCCAGTTGCTCCGACGCCACGCGCCAGCGCGTGAGGCGTTCTCCAGCCACCTTCGTCGATGACGATTGCTCCGGGAGACTCGCCGTGTGGAGTAGGTTCTGCCCAGGTATGGTTTCTGGAGTTTTGGTTTGTGGATGTTTGCACTTAGGGTTTGCAGTCGTGGGTTGAATGTGAATAGAACTGTTGCTTCTCCTTAAGATTTTGGTTTGCAGTCCTGGGTTCAACTTGAATAGGTAGTCATGGAAGAAGGAAGTAATAGGAATATTACTGTTGTATCTACTCCATCTAAATTAATTAATGTAGTATTGACTGCTGATGGGTCTAATTTTGCTGAATGGAAATTCTTGGTTAAAATTAATTTAGATGGAATGGGTAAAGGGGACCATTCAGATCAAGATTGTCCTGCAGATAATAAAGAATGGGAAGCAGATGATAAAGCTTTATTATCATGGGTAATTAATTGTATTGATAGGATGATAATTTTATCAATGCAACATTGTACCACGGTTAAAGCAGTGTGGGAATTAGTGTTTGAATGGTTCAGTGGAACAAGTAATTTGAGGAAATTATATCAGTTGTCTCAGGATGTCTAGAGACCTAATCAAAAAGGTCGAGATCTGAGAGACTACTATTATGATTTTAAAAGCTTAAGTGAAGCTTTATGCACTGCAATGCCTATTACAACTGATGTGAAACAATAAAAACACTACGTGATCAGTTAATTGCTTTTAGTTGGATTTTCGGACATGACAAAGAATATGAGATTCTTAGGTCACAATTACTGGGAAACAAGGAATTAGGATCGTTGGACCAAGTGTTCTCTCAGATACAAAATGTAGCAGTAAGTACTGACAATAATGAACCGGTTGAGAAGAGTGTTTTTATATCACAAGGGAGCAATACTGATGGAAGTGTGTTTGTATCTCAATGAAATTATACTAATGAAGGGTATAATAGTCGAGGTGGAGGTGGTCGTCATCGAGGACGTGGTGGAAGAGGTCGTGGAGGAGGTCGTAGAGGACCAAGGGTATGTTTCAATTGTGGAGAACCGGGCCATTTCAAAAATCAATGTCCTAAACCACCCAGGCAACAAAGGTTTGCTAACACAACCTCTGGATCTGAAGGACATATGGTAATTATGACAGATGAGGAGTTAGCAGCGTTCAATCAACTGAAAATGTCTTCTCCTATGCAGTCTCCATCTCAGTTTCCATCCAATCAACCGTTTTCTTCTGCAACATTTATCCAAACAGGTAATCATGTTGCATGTGTGTTTTTTTCATCTACATAGTGGGTCATTGACTCAGGAGCTAGTGACCATATGATAGGTAATTCTAAGGTTTTTTCCATATATTCTCCATCAAAATCTGGGGTTATGGTTACTCTAGCAGATGGGTCATCCGTTCCAATTTTGGGTAGAGGTAGTGCAGCCTCATCATTACCCCTGTCATCTATATTATATCTTCCAAAGTTTCCATTTAATTTGCTCTCTGTTAGCCAGATCACACGATCTTTGAATTGTTCTGTCTCATTTTTTCCGGGTTATTATTTCTTTCAGGATCTTTTGACGAAGAAGATTATTGGTAAGAGGAAGGAAGTCGGAGGACTATATGTGTTAGAACAATCTATATCTCCGTCCAAGGCCATGTTAAGTGATACCTCTCCTTTCCAGCTACATTGTCGGTATGGTCACCCATCACTGTCGGTCCTAAAGTGTAACACCCCCGATTTTCAACAACTTTTAAAACCGTTCAAAGCTTAGAAAAGGGATAAAGTCTATTCATTAAGATTAAACAAGGCGGAAGCTAACTAAACAAACCGGAAGGTGCTATGCCACACCTATATCAAACATAGGTGCACAGGCAGATACTACAACTACAGCAGTCTAACAAATCAACTACTTAGGCTCACAGGCCTCAACAACTATTAAAGGAAGAGATAAAACTATCTACAGGCCACTAGCGCGCTCTCCAAAGCTACCCAACCTGTAAAGCAACAAATAGAAATGGGACGACGCCCGGTCAGCGAATAATGTTGGTAACCCACCAATACCTGTTAAGTATCATACATAGATAGGACACATGCAAAATCATTTGCGAAACAGAATACATATATATAAGTCCAAAACCGAGAGTAATAGTCAACACAAGACTCAAGCACTCTCAACAAGAACACGGGAACACATCCCAAGACTACAAAGAACAACAACGACTCACAAGAAGTCTCAAGGTATAATCTATCATCACACAACAGATTAATACCCGACATGCATAACTCAATGGAATAAGGACACACCAAACGGCAACACATGCCTTTGTGATTATACACGTCATAAGAAGAGAACTCACAACAACGGCTACACAAGCCCTCGTGACATCACCCATCACGAGTTGATATGCCTTCCTAATGCCCGGTTCCAACCTTATGGCTACCCCCAACCTTATATCTAGTTCCAACCTTTACCTCCAGGACCCCTGTACAACCAAGTCCAACCTTTTCCATCCGAGGAACGTCGTCCTCATCTGCCGACAAACCGCCAACAAAACCACCAATTTCATAGTACACGAGGGTACCGATCACACACACGGCAACACATGCCTCGGCAACACATGCCTCCCAAGAAATACGTGAACCTGACACACAGGTCACAACTCCATAATCACGTCATGGCCACCACGATGACCACTGCAATACCTTGGTGACTAGTGTCCCATACCACTAATCGTGCAATCCATGTAAAGCCACACACACCACACCTCAACAGGAATCAACCAACGGATCACAACGAAGATATGAAACCATACTCAATCAAGGAATGGATCACAGTCCAACAACAACAACGATGAATAACACAAGTTATGATCAACCAATAAGAAGGTACAAACAACACACACGCTAGTATTTAAACACCGAACTAGCATGCTTATCAAACGGGTAAACCAAACGTATTTCTGAAGAACGCACAAGACTCATCACGGTTCAACGAAACACGATGTTGAACACTTAGCACGATTCAAGACACCAAAACCTACATGGATTCCTACCATATAGTTCTAGACATACGAAACATCAAGAAGACACTCAAATAGTTCCACAAAAGAACATCGGGAAGTCAAAAGACCAAATACCGAGTCAAAAGAATCACGGGGAACAAATCCCCAAACAACACCATCAGTGTACCCCGCGGGTGGACCCACGGGTAAGCCCCTACCCCCGGGTACATACCCACGTTCAACTTGTTCCCCGCGGGTCGGTGGTGGGTAGGCCACTGCCTGCCGTTCCAGTAACACCCCGAAATTTTTAAACTTCTAAAGACTTATATAAAAAAGGAATTCTCTTATTAAATCCCAAACAGAGCATTACTAAACATAAGAGTATGGGGTGCTATGCCACACCTGAGCTGGAGAACTCAGGTGCACAGGCTAACTAACTAAATTCCTTAATAATGTCAATACATAATCATGGCACGCAGGCCGAAAGGAAAACTATCTACACTACGCCTCGATTCTCTAGCGCGCTCCAGTGTCTACTCATCAGTGCCTGAAAGCCAAATATATCTGTTCAGCGAGAGATGCTGGTAACCCACTCCAACGCGTTGAAATACAATACGTATAGACATATATATAGATATACGAAAACCATTTTGAAGCATGAAGATATATCGTAAGATACTCTAGCTTTTAAAACGGGAAAAGACTCGACAGATAGAGACAAGCACATCCAACAGTCATAACCAAGCAAGCCTAAGGAACAGACTCGACAGATAGAGATAAGCACAACTAATAATCATAACAAAGCATATACAGTTTGCTAGCATATATCCTATAGTCACGTTCTCAAAACCCTCATATCATCAATCCATCCACATCTCATCACATAAGCACACTTTGATGGCGCCATAGGACCAATCGCATGCCCATACATGAGGGTCAGCGCATATAGCTCTGACACGGCCCCGCAGCACCCTGCCCCGTATCGCAACACGGAGAGGTCGATCGCAACCGACCGATGAACCGCAGCTCATCATAATGTTTGATGGCAACCAAACAGTGGACCGTAGCCCAAGAGTAGTCATCTGACCGCAGCCAGGAAATATGAACCGCAGCTCATGTAGAAACGTTTGATCGCAACCAAACGGTGGACCGCAGCCCAAGAGTGTAAATCTGACCGCAGCCAGCTTCTGAACCGCAGCTCAGGAATAACCAATCCGATCGCAACCGAATTGGGGTATCATGCACACATAACACATAGCAAGCACATGCAACCCACATTACCACATTGGGAAGGGGGAGAAAACGTATAACAAAACCTATGCGTGATCCTTCACATACTAAGAATAATCCTAAGGGGTTCATACTTCTTTCACCTAGGTCAACGGGATACCAATTCAACTAGCATGCAATATATAAGACTCATACAACCTACGAACGGTACCCGAAATATCAAACTAGACATAGGCACGATAGACGGAGTCCGTTGGGAGGCCACGGGGATCGGGGGAACATCCAACGGGGAAGCCGGAATCCCGAATTGGGATATTTTCCAGCGGGTAGCCGGTGGGTGAGGGGTCACCCGCCGGTGGCGTGATTCCGGGCAGCGGGTGCCCGGCGGGCAGCTGCCCGCCCGCTGGCTGCCCGCTGCCGGTGTTGCCCATGTTGGCCGTGGGTAGGTGGCGGGTCCCCTACCCCCCACTGACTCTTTTATCACAGAAAACGCCCCGGGAACCTTTGTGGAACCCGAAACCATGCTTAGACACTTTTAAACACAATTGATAACAACACGTAGACAATTAACGGATCAAAAGCAATAAATATACGACACATATCCTATCATGCTTTTCTAAACATAATTAACACCCAAACATGCGAATTCCCACCCAATACATCAAGAATAACTCCATACGAGTTTCACGATACAACCTAGGGCTCTAGACATAATCAATTTCACAAGAACGTAATTCATCTTTTAACATCAAGAACAATCAAGAATAGCACATAATCATCAAGAATCTATGTTTCATCAAGAATCACACAATCATCAAGAATCTCCTTTCATTATCAAGATTATCAAGTTCACCCATGAAATCATAACACCAATCATCAAGATCAATATAACGAATCATCAATACACAAGAATATGGGGAAAGCCTAAGGGGGGAATCATAGCTATGAAAATAGGTTTTATTGAGACATGGGTTACCTCTTAGCCTTAATTAATTCCTTGGCTATGAAGGGTCTTTCTTTAAGCTTTCTTCTTTCTTGATTTCTCCTAAGGGGATTCTTGGAACTTCTTGTGTGGTGAGAGATTACTGTGGTGAAAGATCTAGGTGCCTCCTATATCCCTATTTATATATTTAAGACTCCTAATTTGGGCTTGAATGATATGGGTTTACTAATCCTATTCCTTATAGGACTAAGGGCTTGTTTTAGGGATAAGGGTCCATGGTCCATAGTGGACCATATTAATTAATTAAAGAGAATCCTAATCGTAGTCTAAATAGTAAAAGGCCTACTCCCTTTATTCCTAATAGATAACTAGGTCTAGGATTCCTAATTAGAATCTGAATAGTAAAAGGTTTACTTTCTTTATTCCTAATAGGCTTAAGACTCTAATTTAGGCAAGGGTCCACGGTTTATGGTGGACCTTATTAATTAATTAAAGGGAAACCTAACCGAATTAAATCATATTTAATTATTATTAACGGGATTAATTAAATAATTAATCCGGGTTTGAAGGCCGTAACACGGGGTGTTACACTCTCCCCCCCCCCCCCCCCTTACGGGAAGCTTCGTCCCCGAAGCTTAGAAATCATTGTGGGGGTAACGAGTCAAACGTAGTACGGTAGTCCTATAGCAAAAGCATTCTACGGGGAAACTGTATAATTGTATGTCTATGTGTGCTGGGTTTTTGGGAACGATTAGGTTTAAAGGGCTAAGAGAGTGGGTTTCAAACCTGAGGACAATGTGAATTTAGGAATTAGGATCAATGTTTTCAAGGTTGCAACTTAGGGTGTGAGGTTGCCACCTTGTATGGAATCGTTAAAATAGGGAATCAAGAATGTGGTTTGAAGGGTAGAAAGGGTTTTGAAATAAGGAGGGGGCCGATTTTCCGAGGGAGGGAAAGGAATTCGGCTAGGATGGGTTAAGGGTTCTCGATCTCAAGTGACTATTCTGGTTTGATGCTTTGATCACGATGTATTGACGAACTGATGATCCTTCTTCCTTGGTGTTGGCACTTGCTTGACTTTAAGATCCTTGTTAGACCTTGCTCCCCAGGCTAAGGTTTCATCCTTCTTTCCTATCTTGAGGGAATCTCCCATGATGTTTTAACACTTACTTCTTTAATGCGTCCAAGGTCTTGACCAAGTTTGGTCAACCAAGCCAATCTCTTAGGGCGCACTTCCCAAATTCTTCCCAAAGTCTCTTGGGAGTCGATACACTTTGGGTTGACTTTCCTTTCTTATTGAATTTCATCTCCTCTTTAGTGAATGAAATTCTTAGTAAGACTTCATGTCTTCCCCGAGGTTCGGCTAGTTGTGCCCTTATGTGTTACTTTTAATGATGAAGGTGTCCTTGCATGCTCTTTTTCTTTTTGAAGCGCAAAGTTGGTTACCTAACCTCGTTGTGGAATGACTCGGTGACTTTACGAGTTATCCTTGTGGGTCCTTAATGACCCTTGAGATCTTGGCACAAATGTGATTTTTACTTTTTGCCTAGCACCACGGACTACGTAGTTCTTGATTCCATACAGTTTGTAAGGAGTCCTCTGATTTGCTTGAACGATATCCATGGTTTGAAGGAGTCCCGGTCCATTCTTAGCATTTTGACTTTTAAGGCCTTTGTGAGTCCTTAGCACGAGTTCCCAACTCGCCTCCTTGGTTTGCACAATCCTTTATGCCAATCATCCCTAGTCGGTTGCATCGTAGAGTCCAACTTCAACTCCACGCGTAGTGCAATTGGTTGTGCTTTTCCGACGGTGTCTTGCGTGTCAAGGTCTTTTACCGATGACACCACGTTTGGGCGACCCATGGTTCCTTACCCAAGACTTGCGTTCATCAATCAAGGCACACAAGTGCGCCATGAATCAATAAAGTGAGGCGTTAAGAAATCAGCACATTGTACCAGTGGGCGCGAGGTGGGTGGTCGTCCGCCTGCCAAGCTCCTGTCGGGGACCCGTCATGGTCCCGCCAAGGTCCCGTTGGGGACCCGCGGGAAGGTGACTAGGAAGAGTGAATTCCTTCGGGAAAAATCCCAAGAACGCACAGATTCAAGTCCTGACAAGCCCCACACCCATGTGCACAATAAAAGGGACTTGAATACATAGGATGACCCATCGTATAGTTTTATTGATCCTTAAGTGCGAGTTATAGATGAGTCAAGACCCTCGCATGTTCTTTCCGCTCAGTAGGTCGGGTCCGGTTTCCAATAATTACCAACCCCGTCACCTTCACCGGGTAGTTGGTTATAAGCCAACTTTGTCTTTTCCTTGCTTGATTAATGATAAGCCCTCTTGGTTTTTTCTTGGAGTTCGGCTTGTCGCTCGTTCCTTGTTCAATCCTTTGGTGACCAAGTGCTTGGTGATGCATTTGATTGATTGTCCTTGACGTCGCATGGTGTTTTGGCGATTTTGTGTGTTACATGTACTTCTTATGGTGCCTTAAAATCATCAAGGTCCTTGTTCCAAGGTAAGACCCTTATTGCTGGGAGGCTCTAGTTATATGATACTTTCCATGCGTCTGTTGCCTCTTCTTGTCATATTGAGCCCCTTTTCGACAATTCGCGCTAGCGATTAAGAAGAAGATGTTGTTTACGTACTACTTTACTTTCTTGTATTTAATTGGCGTTCCCAGTCTCCGGGCTGGGATAGTTGCACCCATTCTTAACCAGTTCCAAAAGGGTTCGCTCATGCTGGAGGGAGCGGTATCCCACTTTTGTTACTTCTCCTTTCGGGTTTGTTCCTGAGTTCCCCATTTGTAGAAGTTGGCATCACTGGTGTAGGCTTCGTTGGGTGTTCGGGGTTTGCTTACAATTATGGCCTTCTGGGTTTCGTAGTTTCGTGGCCTGTCACAGACTTCTTTATCTTGGTTGTCTCTGTAGGGTCTCATTCAGGCGCGAAACGAGCCAGCTGGGGAATTGTTTATGTTATTCCCTGATGGTGGCCATCCCTTGTTTTAGGTGGGGAATTTCCTCGTACATGGTTGCCCTTACGGGTGCGGGGTGGGATCGTCCTCGTAGTCATGCCCCTAGGCACTCCTAGTTGGACCCCCGGTTGTTGTCCATAAGTGGGTTCTTCGTGGATTTATCAAAGATCAGCCTCGTGTCTTGAAGTAGAATGGGGCTATTTCTACGCGGCATTCTACTAACCCGAGGATTTTGTCGAAGGTTCGGGTTCGAGGAGTGTGGGATCCTTGATTGTCTTCTTGTTGGCGCCATGCTGCTGGTTTTCAGGGTCAATATTTATTGTAATGATAAGTTAGTGTGCTGCACCCTTAGCTTGGTGTGGTAAGCGTAGGGGGAGTTCTTTTAAGTTAGAGAGGGATAAAGTGAGGGGAGGTTATGTGTAGGTTTCACAATCTCACCGTGCGTCCTAAGATTCCTGAATCCTATGTTCCTAAGTACCTAGAGTTCAAGCCTAATGTCTTAAGTTCTGGTCTTAATAGTCTTATCCTAGGGTCAAACTTAGGCTCCGATACCAACTGTAACACCCCAAAATTTTTAAACTTTTAAAGACTTATATAATAAAGGTATTCTCTTATTAAATCCCAAACAGAGCATTACTACACATAAGAGTATGGGGTGCTATGCCACACCTGAGCTGGAGAACTCAGGTGCACAGGCTAACTAACTAAATTCCTTAATAATGTCAATACATAATCATAGCACGCAGGCTGAAAGGAAAACTATCTACACTACGCCTCGATTCTCTAGCGCGCTCCAGTGTCTACTCATCAGTGCCTGAAAGCCAAATATATCTGTTCAGCGAGAGATGCTGGTAACCCACTCCAACACGTTGAAATACAATACGTATAGACATATATATATAGATATACGAAAACCATTTTGAAGCATGAAGATATATCCTAAGAGACTCTAGCTTTTAAAACGGGGAAAGACACGACAGATAGAGACAAGCACAGCCAACAGTCATAACCAAGCATGCCTAAGGAACAGACTCGACAGATAGAGATAAGCACAACTAATAATCATAACCAAGCATATACAGTTTGCTAGCATATATCCTATAATCATGTTCTCAAAACCCTCATATCATCAATCCATCCACTTCTCATCACATAAGCACACTTTGATGGCGCCACAGGACCAATCGCATGCCCATACATGAGGGTCAGCGCATATAGCTCTGACACGGCCCCGCAGCACCCTGCCCCGTATCGCAACACGGAGGGGTCGATCGCAACCGACCGATGAACTGCAGCTCATCATAATGTTTGATGGCAACCAAACAGTGGACCGCAGCCCAAGAGTAGTCATCTGACCGCAGCCAGGAAATATGAACCGCAGCTCATGTAGAAACGTTTGATCGCAACCAAACGGTGGACTGCAGCCCAAGAGTGTAAATCTGACCGCAGCCAGCTTCTGAACCGCAGCTCAGGAATAACCAATCCGATCGCAACCGAATTGGGGTATCATGCACACATAACACATAGCAAGCACATGCAACACACATTAACACATTGGGAAGGGGGAGAAAACGTATAACAAAACCTATGCGTGATCCTTCACATACTAAGAATAATCCTAAGGGGTTCATACTTCTTTCACCTAGGTCAACGAGATACCAATTCAACTAGCATGCAATATATAAGACTCATACAACCTACGAACGGTACCCGAAATATCAAACTAGACATAGGCACGATAGACGGAGTCCGTTGGGACGCCACGGGGATCGGGTGAACATCAAACGGGGAAGCCGGAATCCCGAATTGGGATTTTTTCCAGCGGGTAGCCGGTGGGTGAGGGGTCACCCGCCGGTGGCGTGATTCTGGGCAGCGGGTACCCGGCGGGGAGCTGCCTGCCTGCCAGCTGCCCGCTGCCGGTGTTGCCCATGTTGGCCGCGGGTAGGTGGGGGGTCCCATACCCCCACCTACCCCCCCCCCCCCCACTGACTCTTTTATCACAGAAAACGCCCCGGGAACCTTTGTGGAACCCGAAACCATGCTTAGACACTTTAAACACAATTGATAACAACACGTAGACAATTAACGGATTAAAAGCAAGAAATACATAGCACATATCCTATCATGCTTTTCTAAACATAAATAACACCCAAACATGCGAATTCCCACCCAATACATCAAGAATAACTCCATACGAGTTTCACGATACAACCTAGGGCTCTAGACATAATCAATTTAACAAGAACGTAATTCATCTTTTAACATCAAGAACAATCAAGAATAGTACATAATCATCAAGAATCTATGTTTCATCAAGAATCACACAATCATCAAGAATCTCCTTTCGTTATCAAGATTATCAAGTTCACCCATGAAATCATAACACCAATCATCAAGATCAATATAACGAATCATCAATACACAAGAATATGGGGAAAGCCTAAGGGCGGAATCATAGCTATGAAAATAGGTTTTGTTGAGACATGGGTTACCTCTTAGCCTTAATTAATTCCTTGGCTATGAAGGGTCTTTCTTTAAGCTTTCTTCTTTCTTGATTTCTCCTAAGGGGATTCTTGGAACTTCTACTGTGGTGGGAGATTATTGTGGTGAAAGATCTAGGTGCCTCCTATATCCCTATTTATATATTTAAGACTCCTAATTAGGGCCTGAATGATATGGGTTTACTAATCCTATTCCTTATAGGACTAAGGGCTTGTTTTAGGGATAAGGGTCCATGGTCCATAGTGGACCGTATTAATTAATTAAAGAGAATCCTAATCGTAGTCTAAATAGTAAAAGGCCTACTCCCTTTATTCCTAATAGATAACTAGGTGTAGGATTCCTAATTAGAATCTGAATAGTAAAAGGTTTACTTTCTTTATTCCTAATAGGCTTAAGAATCTAATTTAGGCAATGGTCCACGGTTCATGATGGACCTTATTAATTAATTAAAGGGAAACCTAACCGAATTAAATCATATTTAATTATTATTAATGGGATTAATTAAATAATTAATCCAGGTTTGAAGGCCGTAACACGGGGTGTTACAGTTCCGCCCTCGGGTACATACCTGTACACCAAATAATCCCTTCGGGGATTTTCAACACCAAACTCAAATTCAAGTCCAAAACATGCCAAATCTCACCAAATACAACAAAATGACTTGAACCAAAGGAATAGCCAAGCAATGGCATACAAGAACCCTAAACACAAGCTCTAAATATGCATTTTCACAAGACAATGCATAAACACTCACATTTCATAGCAAAACACATGTAGAATCCAAGAAATCATCATATAGGTAAGCAAAATAGATTTTGTAGAGCATGGGTTACCTCTTGTAGACAAAAACCTTCTCTTAACACCTCACCAAGCTCCTAATAAAGCTCACCTTCCAAACCCACTTCAAGAACACACCAAAAGATCATAAAGATCCTATCTTTAAGAAAAGACACCTTAGAAAACACTAAAAACACAAGATGAACATAGATCTTACCCTCCTAGATGCCCAAATGTATGAAAGGTAGAATCTTGGAGACAACTCTTTAAGTTTTGACAAAGCTTCAACTTGGCTTAGAAGAAAAGCTATCTACCTTTTTAGAGAGAAGGTGGAGCTAGAATTTGGAAAGTGTAAGGAGAGAAATGAGGGTGTTCTACTAGGTTAGCATACAATACTAACACAAGGTGAAAAGGCAAGAATACCCTTACTAACATGAAGAGGTGTAAGGGAACAAGGGAACTCCCTACAAAGCTCAAGGTACAACTTTAACTTTGGGGTTGACTAGTCAATTACTAGTCCCCGACTATTGAATTTCCAGGATTTTCAAGAATTAAATTACCAATTGAAATAGGATTAATTACTTAATTAATCCCTTAATCGAATTTGGATTACAGGGTGTCACATAAAGAAACTCTTCCCTAGCTTAGAATCACTGTCTACTTTGCAGTGTGAGTCGTGTGAGTTTGCTAAGCATTGTCGGGTTTCCTACCCTCCTCGTGTTAATAAAAGAGTACGATCTGTATTTGAACTTGTTCATTCTAATGTCTGGGGTCCTTCCCATGTCACAGGGAAAAATGGGTTTAGATATTTCGTAACTTTTGTGGACGACTTCTCTAGATGTACATGGTTATATCTTATGAAATCTAAAGATGAGTTGTTTACAATTTTTTGTAATTTTTGTGCTGAGATCAAAACCCAGTTTAATAAAACTATTAAGTGTGTGCGCAGTGACAATGCACAAGAGTATTTCTCTAAACCCTTTTCCACTTTTATGTGCCAACATGGGATAGTTCATCAATCCTCGTGTGCATATACACCTCAGCAGAATGGAGTGGCAGAAAGGAAAAACCGTCATTTGTTAGAAGTAGCTCGGGCAATTTTGTTTCAAATGAAAGTGTCTAAAGTTTTTTGGTATGATGTTGTTCATATAGCATGTTTCCTGATCAATCGGATGCCTTCGTATGTCCTTCAAGGTCAAATTCCTTATTCTTCAGTGTATCCGACTGAGCCACTTTTTCATCTCCCACCCAAAATATTGGATGTACTTGTTTTGTCCAGGATGTTCGTCCTCAACGCTGAAAACTTGATCCAAAATCTCTTAAATGTATATTCCTGGGATACTCGCATACTCAGAAGGGTTATAGATGCTATTCACCTGACTTGGGACGGTATTTAGTGTCAGCTGATGTTACTTTCTTTGAAAACATGGTGTTCACGGGGAATGTTGGGTCGTCTGGGTATGGGTCTACTCAAGACAATGACTTTCTTACATATACTATTACCATACCTGTCGAGTCTGTTTCTAGACCCCCTATTACACAAGTTTATACTCGGGGACCGAGAGATGAAGTGGCACCACCCAAACCACAAGTGAATACTTCTTCCTTACCAGAATCTTCGTCAAATGATCCGGATCTTCCCATTGCCCTTCGTAAAGGTAAACGTCGTTGTCAAAACCCTATTTCATCTTTTGTGTCTTATAATCATTTTCCGTTGTCATCTCACACCTTTGTATCACGTTTAGAATATTTAGATTCTATGTCAGTTCCAAATACTTTGAGTCAGGTTTTAGCACATGATGGGTGGAGACATGCAATGGAGGAGGAGATGGCTGCTCTTGAAGACAACCATACTTGGGATTTGGTACCCCTCCCGGACGGTAAGACCGCAGTTGGTTGCAAGTGGGTTTATGTTGTGAAAATGAACCTTGATGGGTCTATGGCTAGACTTAAAGCTCATCTAGTAGCAAAGGGATATACACAAACTTATGGTGTTGATTATACAGAAACTTTCTCCCTGGTAGCTAAGATAGCTTCAGTTCGTATCTTTATTTCCTTAGCTGCGTCTAACCATTGGCCTCTATATCAGCTAGATGTCAAAAATGCCTTTTTGCATGGTGATTTGGTTGAGGAAGTCTACATGGAGCAACCTCCTGGGTTTGTTGCTCAGGGGGAGCCTGGAAGGGTGTGTAAATTGAAAAAGTCTCTATATGGTATGAAGCAATCTCCACGAGCTTGGTTTGGGAGGTTTAGTAGTGTGATTATGGAGTTTGGTATGCAAAGGAGTCAGTGTGATCATACTGTCTTTTTCAAGAATACTAATGATGGGTGCATTTTTTTGATTGTTTATGTTGATGATATAGTAATCACAGGTAATGATGCAGTAGGTATTGAAGCTCTTAAATTTTTCCTCAACGAAAAGTTTCACATAAAAGATTTGGGAGTGTTGAAGTATTTTTTTAGGGATTGAAGTTGCTCGCTCTCGGAAAGGAATATTTCTCTCCCAAAGGAAATATGTGCTAGATCTGCTTGATGATATTGGGTTGTTGGGATCAAAACCATGTGAGACCCCTATGGAGCAGGGTGTGAGACTTGTGGCTGGTGAGGGGGAGGACTTTGATTCTCCAGAAAGATATAGGAAGTTGGTGGGAAAGTTGAATTATCTCACCATTACGCGTCCTGATATTGCTTTTCCAGTCAATGTGGTAAGTCAGTTCATGCAAGCGCCCATGCGAACTCATTGGGAGGCAGCAGTTCGAATTGTAAAGTATCTCAAGAATGCACCTGGTAAAGGCATTCTATATGCTGATCATGGACATGCAAGAGTTGAGGCATTTTCGGATGCTGATTGGGCAGGTTCGTTAAGTGACAGGAAGTCTACAACAGGGTATTGTGTGTTCTTAGGAGGTAATTTGGTTTCTTGGAAAAGCAAGAAACAGACTGTTGTGGCTCGGTCCAGTGCAGAATCTGAGTATAGGGCGATGGCTCATGTGACGTGTGAAATAACTTGGGTGCACAATATGTTGAAGGAGGTTGGTGTGGAAGTGATGAAGCCCATACGTTTATGGTGTGATAATCTAGCAGCGATACACATTTCAAACAATCCAGTGTTCCATGAGTGTACCAAGCATATTAAGGTTGATTGTTATTTTGTGCAAAAGATTCAACAAGGCCTCATTTCCATGGCTCATGTTCGTAGCGGCGATCAACTAGCTGATGTGTTCACCAAAGGGCTTAGCAGGGACAGGGTTGAGTATATTTGTAACAAGCTGTGCATGATTAATATCTATGCTCCAGCTTGAGGGGGAGTGTTAGATATAAACAGTTATAGAAGATGGAAAGGCATAAAAATAAATAGACTAGGAAGTGAAGAGTTGTAAAACTGTCCATTGTGGTAGTATATATATCTAAGTGAAGAAGAGCACACAGAAAATAGAACAAACACATTGGCTGATATCCTCTCTTTCTAGTAACACGGTACATGAATGATACACTCCAAAGATCAAGAAGTTTCGTATGTGAGGGACGTTTATATCATGTTTGTTGTTGTGCACACATTTTGAACTTGTGTGTTCAAGATGGATTATAAGAGATTCGGCATGTCATTAGTGATCTTAGAGATAGTGTGGAATATGTGAACCGGTCGGAGGCAAGACGTATACAATTTGCAGACTATGTGCAACAACTGCAATTGAAAGATAGGAAATTGATTCGTGATTGTAAAACTATATGGAACTCGGCTTTTGAGATGTAAAGTTGTGCACTCAAGTTCAAAGAAACTTTTAATATGCTAAAAGATCGTGATCCATTCTTTGACAGTTGCCCATTGAAAGATGATTGGGATAAAGTCACCAAGGTTTGCTCAATGTTAGAGGCTTTCTGGACAGTTACACACATTATTTCAGGTTTGTTTATTTTAACTTGTTTCTTCCAATTTGTTTTAGGTTGTGATTTGTGAGTATCTAACTTCAAATTTGTTTAAGGTTATGAGTACCCTACTTCAAATTTGTTTTTTCAAGAAGTTCAAAAAAATCAAATTTGGATAGTCATGTAGATGATGAAGATTCCTTTATTAGGGAATTGGTTATGAGATAAAGATGAAGTTTGATAAATATTGGATTAGTGTAATTTGTTGATGACTATAAGTGTTGTTTTTTATCCAACAAAAAAAAAAATGCTTGCAGTTGAATTTTGTTTTCCTAGACTTTATTCTAATGAGGAAGTTAGGGAAAACATTTCAAAAGTGAGAGATCATTAATACTCTTTATGAAGAGTATGTTGTTGAATCAAGGAACAAAGGAATTTTAAAACTCTACGTTATTCTAACACTTTTGGAAGCCATGTTAGCCACCAAAGTTCTGCATATACTTGAGATAATTTTGATTTTTGATGCATATTTTGCAAAAGTTGAGACTTCATAGCCTAAAAGATCAAAGCTAGTAGAATATCTAGAAAAATGGTGTTTTAAGAAGAATGAGATTCCTAACAATTTTTCTTGTTTAGACTGTTGGAAGATGAATAGAATGCAATATCCAATATTGTCAAGAATGGCTGCAGATATTTTAGCTATACATATTAGCACTGTGGCTTCAGAAGCAACCTTTAGTGCTGGGACAAGGGTAATTGATTCTTACCTTGCATCATTGTTGCCGAAAATCGTACAAGCTTTACTTTGTGGGGGGTGATTGGCCTCGACATATACACGGAGTTACCAAAAATAAAGTAAGTTAACTTTTATGCTAAAGGATGCATTATATTTTTAAAACATTTGCTTAATTACACACTTGTTTATCTTTCTTTTTTTTCTTTTTTTTTTTTTCAGAAAGAGAAATCATATCAAGAAATTTATCTTCCAGTATCCAACCCATGAAAGTAAGTTACACACTTTTTCTAGATTCAGCTAAAGTATATTTCAAGGATTTTAGTATTATTATTAAATTTGGGATGAGTTTGTTCTGGTAGAATATTATTGAGACTTCAATGCTGTTTCTTTTGATGATAGCTTGAAGGACATAACTCTCTATGCTTAAACTGTTCAGCGAGCAGTCTGAGACAACTCTCTATGCTCAGTTTGCAGTTATATTTTAGTTAAGTATAAGTTGAACATTGGTGATGATGCTAGTGACTTAAAATTGCAGAAGTCTAAATGTTGTAGATTAGTTTAGTTGTATGTAAGGTCTATGAATGTAATGTATTAGGATTTAGGGTTTAACAGAGGTTGGTACTAATTTTTGTGTTTTCTCGAGTTTGTTGAATTGTTTTTCTTGATTTTGTGTTTTACACCCAGGTTGAATGTATTTCGTGAACTTGTTTTAGGTTGTATGCTCCTTGAATGTATGTGGTTAATTTATTTTGAGTGCTTTGAGCCTTTAAACAATGAAGTTTGGACTTTTAAATTTTTTAAAGTTTTTATTATTTATATATGGATATAATAGTATTTATTATTAATTGAAACATGAAGTCAAACATGTCAAATTCAAGTTTAAAATCAAGCTCGGCTCATTTGCACCCCTAGTAATGACTAATGAGCTAGGACTAGTATTGAACAACAAATTATACCATGAACCTACGGTTAGTATATTATGTACCTATAAATAAATTGAAAGTACATAATATGTTAATTGCAATAATTGTAATAGGTACATAATTTATTAACTGTAAGTACACGATATGTTAATTGTAGTAGGTATATCATAATATGTTAACTGTATATACATAATCTATATGTCATTTTGGACCAAAGTTCTCAATACAAGATGGACCATGATATAACAATTGGTATTGGACTCCATAGGAATCAAACCTAGGTCAATAGGATAAAAGTATGAACAAGACACCACCAACCTTATTGGCCCAGTGTGTGCCTCTTCTTAATCCGTCAATCAATCCATCCAAATGTCCAAGCCTCCATGCTCATGCCTTCATGCCCACACCTCCACTATCTACCTCACCTATTCCTTCTTCGCCTCCCCGGCAAATTATGCTGTGGACACGTGTACACTATATACATTTATAATTTATATACTATAAATTCATAATTTTTATACTCTAGATTCATAATTTCTAAATTGTAGATTCATAATTTATGTATTATATGAATCTACATAAATTTTATGAATCTACAGTACAAAAATTATGAATGTGCAGTATCAAAATTATGAATGTGCAGTATAAAAATTATGAATCTACAGTATAGAAATTATGAATGTACAGCGTGTCCACCATACACATGGTGGACACGGGTCCACAACATAACGCTCCGTTCCAACACAATCGTTATACCCTACACCACGACGCACATAGCACTGTGCGCCGCGCGCCTCCCAAAACGACGTCGTTTTGGGGTCGTTTTGGGAGGCGCAGTAGGAAGTTGCTGGGATTATGTGTATTTGTTCACACAGTTATGTGTATTTGACTATTTGTTCATACAGTTATGTGTATTGTTTCATACAGTTATGTACATTTTTTATACAATTATGTACATTCTTTTTATACAATTATGTACATCCGAATCAAAAAATTTGTGTGTATTATGTTAATAGTTGATGTGTATTATGTTAATAGTTGATGTGTATTATGTTAAAAGTTTATGTTTATTATGTATTATGTTAGATTATGTGTATTATCTTTTAAAAAGAGTATGTATTTATATAATTATGTACATTCATGTATACAATTATGTGTATTCTAGTATAACATTATGTACATTCTTGAACAGCGGGTTTTTTTTTAAAAGAAAAAACTACTGCCATTCACTGGGGCGGGAAATTTAAAAAAAAAAAAAAATTAAAACGACGTCGTTTTGCATCTGGGCGCATAATGCAACGCGCGCCATGGTGTAGGATATAAATTGCCGTTCCAACACCCCCCACCCCCCACCCCCAACAAGGGTTATGGGCTGCTCTATTTCTCCTTCCAAGCCCATAAGCATCTCCTTTATTTTTTTGGACAAGGCCTTGTTAATCCAATGGGCTCATGGCCCCATCAATAATTATAAAGTACTCCATAGCATTTGGTTTACTCCAATAATGTGATATGGGATTCAAACTATTTTTAAAATGAGTAAAAAGTTCTAACCAATAAACGTCATTTTAAAATAAATATTTATTTTTAAGATTAATCTCTTTCTCTATATATATATATATATATATATATATATATATATATATATATATATAGAGAGAGTTAATTCCAGCAATAGTCCTCTGACTATTACAACTTTCCAAAATTGATCCTCGTCTTTTAATTTGGACAAATTAGACCTTTGACTATCAGATTTGTTCCAATATTGGTCCTTCCGTTATCTTTCCATCTGTTAGCCGTGAGTGTAAGGTCAAAATTGTCTTTTCATTAGCTTAGTATCTTCTTCCTCATGAATGTATTTGACGCTGAAGCAATACGAAGAACTCCATTGTTTCTCACGAAGAACTCCATTGTTGCATCAAAGACGGTGCTTACAGCGGGGAATCAAATCTCTGGCGAATTCTGCCGACCACCAAACAATGAACGCAGATCTATCTTCATTCCACAAAATCAAATCGTCCATGGATGAATCATCCACCAGCTGGTATGTCTTCGTTAAAAACGGCGTCGGAAGCGATCTCTGAGACTCTCCAAATTCGCCTGTTTGTTCCGCCGGCGACGGGCCCATAGCATTCAGTACAGTGTTACGCAGAATGAATTCATTAATCTTTGAGACTCTCCAACTATAGATCTACTGGCAGAGCTTTTTTTTTTTTTTCCCCCTTTTTAAATTTGCTCTGTAATGGGGTAGCAATTAGCAAAGGCTCCAAAAGATCCAATCAAAATCATTGTTATAATATGTTGGCCATCTCACGGGAAAAGAATAAAATAATTCAATTTCATGTTATTAACAATAATCTAAGAAGGGGCTGCAGAAGTTCATCGAAGAAAACCCTTCGCCGCCGCCGCCGGCGAAGTCAGGAATGACGAATAGTTCCAGGTTTGATCTGAGGCAGGTGAAGAAGCTGAAGCCGCCTGACGTGCAGAGAATCACCGACGGCACGGATGGAGTGCTAATCGAAGGTGGGAATTGGGATAGGCCGTGTTGGCAGGCAGCCTCCAGATCAACGGCTCAACCCGCCTGAGCTCCGCCACCGCATTTGCCTAGACCCGCGGAAGGGTTGGTCGTTAAAGCCCAGCAAGGTTTCGCCGAGGCAGAAACCAGCCGCTATGCCCTCTTGGGTGCCGCCGCCGCCGTCGGATTGGCGGTCCTTTGTTCAAGCTTGACAAAGAAATGGCGTTGGCTTGACAGAGCAATGGAATTGGTGGAAGAAAGCAGCAATAAGAGGAAATGACCGCCGTACCCCTCTATTTAACCCCTAACAAACTTGATGCTTAACGGAAGGACCAATGCCGGAACAAATCTAATAGTCAATGGTTTATTTCGTCCAAATTAAAAGACGAGGATCAATTTTGAAAAATTGCAATAATCGGAGGACCATTGCTGGAATTAACTATATATATATATATACACACATTTTATCAAATTATCACTTAACAATATCAGTGTTATCGTAATTTGTGTTTTAATTCATTGTAATTATTTAAAAGATTGAACCGTTCTTATTTATTTATTTATTTATTTATTTATTTTATAAGGGATAAAGTGGAAAAATTCTTGCCCACTTCACACCTTAGGCAAGGATTTTCCTACCAGATGGCAAAAATATTGGTTTCTTTATCTTTTTGCCTAAGAGAATACATCTATAATTTTTTGTTACCTACCCTACCAAAAACAAAATCTTGTTGCAGTTGGAATTACATAATTGTTTTAGCTCTCAATTTAACCCCAAAAATTTCAAGCACATATATAACCAAGAAGAAGTAAATTTTACATTCATTTATAAGTCAATCAGTTAGAACAATCTCACATTTCAATCAAATGCTAACTTAAGATAATTTAACATTCATTAACCAAATGCCAGTTATTAAGAGTATAATATGAAGATAATATTCAGATGACAAAACAGAAAAGTAAAGAATCACAAACCAAACACAGGATAATTACATGACACAACTAACCGTTTTCGTTGAGTTGATAACTCAACGGACATTCTGTTCACACGGCTAACCTTGGATCAACTGCTCCACTGGCATTGCCTTCCCCGGTTAGAATTTGATCCGGATCCTGGAGAAACAAACTATGTCATTTCTAGCATCCAATTATTATTTCCTTAAAAAAAACAAGAGACATTCTATGTACACACCTCAACTCCCCATTTGATGTAATCTGGGGACTCACAAGCCTTGTACTCATCAACAAGACTCTCAATAACATCTCTAGATTCATCAAATTCTGATAGATCATTGTCCTGCAAATGTTTCCCCATGATTATAAGTTGTACAACGTGTCCAAACAAATACTTTTCCTTCGGTCCCATTTTACCTACTCATTGGTCAAACCAACTCTTTCTTCTTTGCTAATTTTCTTATTATTTTAAATTTTGAGTCTATGTTAAATAATATTTTCAATGTAGTTTCTAATTATATAAATTTTATATATAAATATTAAACTTGTAATATTATGAAAATTGAATTGTAAATAACTTCAGTCAAACCTCGTTAATTTAACTAAACACACAGCTAGTGGGACGGTGGGAGTATCAATTTCCATATTGCAAGCACGGGCGAATCTAGGGGGGGTTTCAATGGGGGCAATTGCCCCCCTCCCCCACCCGCATTATATGTGTGTGTGTATGTGTGTGTGTGTGTGTGTGTGTGTGTGTGTGTGTGTGTGTATATATATATATATATATATATATATATATATATATATAGTATGACAAAAACTTGTATGAGACCGTATCACGGATCCTTGTCCGTGAAAGACAGGTTGGGTCAAGATGAAAATGCAATACTTATACTGGAAAATGTAATACTATCTGGAATAAAGTATTTGTTACTTATAAGAAAAAGTATAATACTTTTGAAGAAAAATGTAATACTTTAACATTTTGAATTAAAAGTATTACTCAATCTATCTCATTTTACCAAGTCTTGTTTACTATTCATTGGTCAAACCAACTCTTTCTTCATTGCTTATTTTCTTTAGTAATTTTTAATTATTTTTAAATTTGATTTTTTGTGTTTAATATAGTACTTTTAATGTAGTTTCTAAATATATAAATTTTATATACTAATACTAAACTTAATATTATGAAAAAATTGAATTAAAAATAACTTCAGTCAAGCTCCGTTAACTGAACAAGACAAACAAAATGAGACGGAGGGAGTACATTTTTCTTCAAAAGTACTACATTTTTCCTTATAAGTAACAAACACAGAAACACTTATTTCTCATTAGTATCATAGTTATCAAGGCGGACTTTCTAGGCGAGATGCCACCGACTGCCTAGTCGACTAGGCGATGAGTATTAAATAAATAAAAATGTATATATATATTGAAAACATCTTGTCTTGGGCAGCCTATTTGCTGACCTATTTACTTCAAGTAGATGAATAATTTTTCCTATAATAGTGAGAAGTCTAGTATTTATTGGTATATTGAAAATATCTTGTCTTGTGCAACCTTTTTGTAACCCTATTTACTTCCAGATGTCTTGAGAAGATGAATAGTTTTTCCTAAAGTAGTGAGAAGTCTAGTATTTATTGATAACATGCCAAAGTGAGGTAGTGGGCTTTGACCGGAACAGGAGGACGACGCCGGAGCTCGAACCACGCCGCCATCGGAGCCACCACGTGCCGCCGATGTGCCGCTGCTCCGACGCCACGCGCCGGTGCGTGAGGCAGATTTTGGCGACTTCTCCGGTTGGAAATTACACCGGTCAACTTGCCTTAGTGTGTAGGTCCTGCCCATGTATGTTTTGTGGAGTTTTGGGTTGTATTCTGCAACTTAGGCGAGGCGAGCACACTACGCGTTCGGTCTCGACCGACCAGACGCCTAGGCGACGCCTACGCGTCGACTAGGCGACGCCTTGATAACACTGATTAGTATTACATTTTTCAATATACTTAAATAAGTATTACATTTTCATCTTGACCCGACTAGTCTTACAGACAAGGATCCATGAGACGGTCTCACAAGAGAGTCACTCATATAGTATATGCTTTAGTATACATAAATAATGTATTACTGATTTACTATACATAAAAATCATTGAAAGTTGAAGTAGCTTAGTTGGCTGGTAGTGAGTTTTTATTACAAAAGGTCTAGGGATCAAAATTTGCTAGCTACGTTTTGAAGTTTTTTTTTTAAAAAAAAATCGTTTTTTTTTTTAAAAAAAAAAATCGTTTTTTTAAAAACAAATTTCAAATTTCGCTTTTTTCTTTTAAATTTCGCTTTTTTTTTTTTTTTAAATTTCGCCCCCATTGACCAAAATTTCTAGCTCCGCCACCCCTGAGTGCAAGCCTATTGTAATTCCAATCAAGCATAACAGCCACTTTGTAGACAACAGAGCAATTATTTTAGTAGGTATAGAATCTTTAGCATAATCATCTAAGGACACTCAAGGCGTCCAATAGAACTGCCATCCCCACAAACAAGAGCAAAAAAAGAGTTTTGCATCTATTTTGCACTCGGTAAGAGTGTTGTGCGAATAAAGGCAAAAGAGTTGGAGAGCAACTTACAGCAAACATGGGATAATTCCTGTAGTTGTCAAGAAAGGCTTGTCTCTTTCTCAACTTCTCATATTGGCTCAAGCACTTGGTAAATAAGTGACGGATTCCTGTGTGGCTTGCAAGTATAAGGCCACTAACCTAGCATATTTAAGAATAATATATTACTATTAAAATTCACTCAAGACTAATTTTGAACACATTTACCAACTCTTGTGCTTACAAGTAATTATACCACTAAAATTCAGAGAAATGGAAGACATGAAAATATTGAAAATCTATACGCATTCCAACAGTTATATGGGCGAGATCAGCTTACTGCTATTTTTTCGATAATATGATCCACAGTAATTCTGACAAATCATGCAATCAGTTCCTTAGTAAGGATTGAACATTTAAACAAGGAAATCTTACCCTGTGAGCAGTTTGGACATATGGTGACTTTCTAGATAAAGCAACCTACCAAGAAAGATTAATTTTTGTCATGTTGCAGACCAATGTGAGTAAAACAAACTGAATCTCACATATTAATGCAAGTAATATATTGCTAAAAGGCTTACCTGGATACTAGCAGGGCCCCACTCAATAAAATTGACAAGCTTCCTCTCACGAATTCTCTGCAGGCTTTCATGGACCTGAATTTGGAAAGTCCAAATATTTTACAATGAATCTTAATGGGATCTAGAATGTTTAATGAAAATTTGCATGCTTCTGGAACCACAAACTAAATATATATATCATATGCCATTATATGGACGAGATATAGTCAAAGTGGTACTAATAATTAAGATGAGACAAATGGCTGAAAAAGCTATAGGACTCATTTCTTAAAATATCATTGCCAATATATGTGTCCAAACCATGGAAGATTTGGGAAGGGAGATGTACCTAACTTTGTTTTCAATGAGGTTGTTTCCAGGGCCCAAATCTAATAGTCACCAGGCTAACACTTGGTTCTACAGTTTACACCAAACTCAACCCTCGATAGATTACTTTCAGAGATTATCGTACTTTTAATCCCTTGACTATAGTGAGAATTTCATGTTTGGTCCTCGGCTTTAATTTATGGAAACAACTCTTTGTGATGGCAGTTTGGATATTTTGGGCAAAGTAGAATGTTTTCTAAAATTGTAAACTAAAAAGTGGAACAAATCAAAATTGAGAAGCAAAAGTGGAAATTTAACTATAATACTATATAGTTGAGAAAGTGAAATAAACTCATTACTTTCACTGATAAAATTTTGAAAGGCCTTCAATAAGTACCACTATAGATAAGATAAGATGCTTTATGATTCATAGAGCCTACAGTAACGACATGAACAAAGTCCACTTGTAACTTTAGCACAAAGGTTAAATACTTAGGGGTCGTTTACTTCATTTCTCTGTTTTTCCATTTTCAGTTTTCCATTTTTCCATTTTTCCATTTCTCTAGTTTTCCATTTCTCCAGTTTTTCATTTCTCTAATTTTCTAATTTTATTAAATACACTCAGCCTATATAGCATTTGTACATTCCAACAACAACAACAACAACAAATCTATGTATATAAGGAGGAGGAAAAAAGAAAAAGAAAAAAGGGAAAAAAGATAATAATAATAATAATAATTTAATAATAATAATAATAATAATAATAATAATAATAATAATAATAATAACAATAACAATAAATAAATAATAGTAATAATAATAAGAATTTAATAATAATAATAATAATAACAATAATTATAGGAATTTAATAATAATATAATAATAATTATAATTATAATAATAATAATAATAATAACAATAACAATAATAATAATAATCTAATAATAATAATAATAATAATCTAATAATAAGAATAAGAATTTAATAATAATAATAATAATAATAATAATAATAATAATGAATATGAAGAAGAAAATCTAGGGAAGAAGAAGAAGCGTCCAAAGATGAAGTAATGACACCAGTGAGATTTGAACCTGGGCTATTTGGGTCTAAGAGTACTGTTCACCCGTGTTTTTCATTTCTCCATTTGGAGAAGTTGGTTTATGCATTCTCCAAATTCCTTAAGAAAGTTGGAGAAAGGAGATGAAAATAGAATTTGGAGAGAGAAATTTAGTAAACAACTTTTCCATTTTTCATTTTTCTACCTCTCGAATTTTCTATTAATGAGCATAGCATCAAGAATACCTGTGTTGGATCTACTTCTCCTTGAATAATGTTTAATATTGATATATACTTTGCTTGACTAGCTTCCTTTGTCCGAGCGTAAGAGGAAACCGTGATGTTCTTAGTCTGCACAGCAGAAAGCTTTAAGTATATTTGCATTTCACTATTTGCAGAACAATTGAGAAGGATTCAGTCCCACCTGAAGAAGTCTTCTCATCACATCAAGAACAGTTGTCTTGCGAATTACATTAGCCTGTAAAAAGGACTATCTGCATTAGAATACAAGGTTTTCTTTTTTCTTTCTTCCTGAACAAAATGCATCAGTGCATCGCTGACATCAGGCCTTTTCATTATACTTTGTTAACTTTCTAGTCTTGAAGTTTAAATGTTCAAACCAGATATAGATATGTGCATTTGATATTAAGAAGACAGTAAGATGGAATATTTATAAAGTTAAAGGGCATACCATCAATTGGCTTCTCACCTATCTGTTGTCCTTAATGCATCAAACATGAATTAGGTAATAATTAGATCATGAGTAGAAATCTTACTTGACGCTCCACTGTGAGTGGTGTATATCCGGCCATCAGAAAGTGGCACCTTGGTGTTGGTATTAGAGAAGCAAGGAGGCCAACCAAGTCATTATTCATATACCCTGGATAGCGCAACGTTGTTGTGCTTGCTGACATGACAGTAGAAACTAAAGAATTTGTTTGAGCAAAAGTAGGAGTCGTTATATGAAGGCGCTCCACAGCTATTCTATTGAGTGCAGTATTATCAAGAACAACAACACAATCAGCATTAAGTGTCAGTCTCTTGAGTGTGAGAAGGGAGTTGTATGGCTGAACAACTACATCACTTGTCTCATTTTGGTTCGGGAATACACTATATGTCTGAACAAGTTTTTTGCTATAGCGATCATTAAGAGTCTCCAACAAATATGAACCCATACCTACATGAAATCAAAGTGATTAATGGACACAAAATAAATTTAGAACAAGCACGACACATTTGATTCAGCAACCAGTGCAAGACAAAATGGGTTTCAACTAAAACTTTTTTATTACTTCAAAAATAGAAAGAAGAATAACAACTTGATCCAAAATTCCAAATTGACAAACAGACAAAACCTGAGCCTGTTCCACCAGCAATTGAGTGACAGAGAACAAAACCCTTAAGACTATCACTTCCATCGGCCTCTCTATCAATCATGTCCATTAAATCTTCCTCGTATTGCTTTCCCTAATCAAACAAAGAATTAGGCCAGAAGGATACAAGATGTAACTTTTCTGACAGGTAAAGAAGATTTTACTGAAAAATGAAATTAGGGAGAGAAATTACAATCAATACTCAATAGGACAAGAAGTCCTTGTAAAATTGATGAAGTAAAAGAAAGTAAAACTAAAACTAATAATCCCACATTGAAAAAAAAAATATTTAACATGCTTTAAACATCCATAAGTGCTGCATAGTTGAACATTCAGTTACTCTAACACCAAGGAGAAGCTAGGAGACCAACTTTCTACCACACTATGACACTAAATGTGCAGGTAAGAATTGGTCATTAAATTTCTTACACTTTTTCTAACCAAAAACATTGAGTTTCAAGGTAGAAGATCTATGCCAGCTTTTGCCTTCCATTTACTACCGAAGTCCTTGTGCAATTTGGAAATCCAAAAAATTTGTTGACAAAATAATGTGCAACATATTTTGGAAGAAAATTTCCACTAGTCATTCTAAAAATAATAACAAACTATACATTAACAGATGATTTTTCCCATACAATATGGCATCACTTCATTTATACAATTGGTACTCTTTTTCATTACACCAGAAAATGATATCTATAAAAGATAAAGGACAAATCTGATGGTATCCACTTGCCCAATTATTCCCAGCACCTCCCCCATGATCAGAAATAAATATGTTCTCATGATTGTAAAGGTTCCTGTATTCACCATTTTGTATACCATTAATCACCCTGGGCTCCAAATCCATTAACAAGGCCCGTGGAATATAGTGCTGATCATCAGCTTGATAGAAAAATACATCTTTTCTATCACCTCCCTGCAACATGGTGTATTCAGCACTTTAACACAGTATATCATTCTTGCACAAAAGGGAGGGATGTGATTTGTCAAAATATCACAAATATTGAAAGTAGTTATCTCTATTAGATGGGTTGGGTGGGCAACAAATATTCTAACAAGCTTTTCTTTTTTTTTTTTGGATGGGGGAAGGGGGGGTAACAGGTTTTTTTGGGGGATAAATGAAATTTTATTTGCAGTTGAGGAATGCTATTTACAATCATCACTTTAACAAACATTCAACTAGGGTGTGCAAATATGAACATTACATATATACACTGATATGCAAGTAAAATACCACTCCCTAATTTTGGATATGCGCTCTAGCATACTTAACCACTAGCATCCATATATCTTTACAGACAAAACACCCGAACTCAAATAAGTATTAGAGAGGTCAGGACAAATATTCCGACCTACTTCCTGGCGTTATCTTCTTTCTTGTCTAGTTGTCACTCACTATATCTCTTCTACTTCTAGGGAGTAGTCAAGTAAAGTTTCAAGCTCTTTGCTTTTCCCTAATTTATTGATATTCAAGTAAAGTTTCAACCCATGATATGTGGCTAGACATGCCATTTCCAACAAGAATGTGGTTTCATTTAATTTCATACATGCCAAATTAGAACAAAATATTGGTCTTTGAATCATAATGATAATATGTGGACTATAAATACCTCTTTCCTTTGATTCGTGTAGACACTCCAAATATAAGAAAAGCAAGCAATAAGTAGCAAACCCTAAGAAAACCTTACTATATATAGCATTGACAAAAAACTGAAACAAGTTCTGTTCGCATTCTGTTATTTGCACGAGACACATACACTACAAAATAAGCAATGCCTTAGGGTAAGTATGGCATGCACAAAAATCATCACGTATATTACAAGGTCCATTTCTTTTACTACAAGCCTTGTTATTTGCATCTGATTCCAATCAGATTACATGAACAGCCCAAAGAAAGTCAGACCAACAAGACTAACTTGAAACATTCAGAATAATTCGAGAACAGTAACTCAATTCCTTTGCAATTTTGGACCATACAAGGAACCAAACGACCTGTACCATGCGCAGTACTTAGTACATTGACTAATACATACATAAATACACAATGTTGGATTTTACAATATAATATATATTATATATTAGGGCCTTGGTGCAAGTGAACTGGATGACTAGAGTTTGTCTGTAGTCAACAGCTATGCCTATATAAAGGCTTTATTGATGAGATAAGGATATACATTATATAGCACCTTAAGTTATGGTATGCTCAAATAATACTAATACACCATTTAGGGTTCAGCTACTACGAGATTAGATTTCTCATAAATTCTATTCAGTAAGGTTAGACTATATTTATATCTAACACACCATGCACAGATACGGTAAAGTGAACCTGAGTGGCGAAGTCTTCGAGAATGCCATCCTTGCTGATGCCGTGCTCGAGGCAGAGCTGCTTCCAGAATTCCATTCCGATCTGGTTCCCGCATTGTCCCACCTGCAGCGTGATGATTTCCCTCGGCATTTTTCGCTCCGCCTTTGCGAGGGAAAAACTTGGTTGGTTTTCTAGGGTTTCTTTGGATCCTCTATCTTGAGGGGGGAAAGTAGGGAGGGAACTGCGAGGTTTCTGCTAAAATGTTGAAATGCTTGACTGCGAGCTTGCTGGTTAAATCAGCCCCTGCACTTTCTGCTTCAGAAGCTACGCCATCAGTTCGAGAATTTGCTGGCAGTGTTGACAGTGGAGGGAAGTAGGGTTTAATCCTCACGGGCAAGGTCAGCAGCACTGTGGAAACGGAAAACAGAAAATGGGGAAATCGAAAACGAGAAAAATGGGGAAATTTTTAAATTGACCTCATTTGAATTTTAAAGTACTATTATTCATGTTCTAAATTAATCATTTATAGTCCATCAACTCTCAAATTTTAACCACCTATGATGGAAGAATTTGACTCAAAGAATTATGACCTAACGAACCAAACATAAACAAACCACAGTTGTTCGTGTTCGTTGTTAAGAATATTAGAGTGTTCGTGTTTGTTTGTTTATTAAGCGTTCATTAGTGTTTGTTAACGTTTGCGAACACGTTCACGAACTTGTTCATTTACGTTCGTGAACACTTAATAACCAAACACATGCACATATTCATTATCACAATTTGTTCATGAACAATAAATAATCTATGTTCGCGAACAATAACCAAACAAACAACACAACTACAAAACTAATACAATTTATACAGATAATTGAATAAGTCCAATCGTAGCATCTAATATCAAAATAAAAATACCTAGTCTCAAATAAAATAAAAATAGACACACATAATTTGTTTGTTCACATTATAAGCCAAAACATAAAAACATAAAGCATGAGATATTTAAATTATGCATCCATTATCCCAAAAGCTTAATACATTCAACTCCAAGTTCATTCCAGTGATATCGTCTTCACATTTTCAGTAAACTATATGAAATGATATATATTGTTATATTACATATAAAGTATTGAAGATAAATGATATATACTCCGTATTAAATAAATAACAAAAATTGGCAATACTTATTTTTTGTTTTCTTTGCATATCGTATAAGTTACGCAACTAGTCACTTCCACAAAGTAGCATTTGAGTAGAGTATCGATCCCCAAAGATGCATGATATGTATCAATAACCCTACCACTAGCACTAAATGTTGAATCTGAAGCAACCGTTGTGATTAGAATTGATCATATTTCACATGTCATTTTGGATAATACTCTCTTCAAGTTCATTGACTTCCACCATTTTAGATAAGATTTCACATGCCAATGCATTAAATTAGTAGAGTCTCCTTCACAAATATATACACCTTCATGTAAATAAGTATCTAATTCAGACTTCACATGTTGGACGATATCAACATTTCTCACAAACTTCTCAAATTTTGATCTCCTAGTTTCAACAGCTCATTTCCTTTCCAAACAAAAGTAACACCTTTTTTCAAAAGTATTCCTTACTTGGAAATCATTTTCCATTGGTTGGTTTGAAGCTGTTGCATGTTTATCAAAATATATCTTGTATAACTCATATGAAGCATTATGAACAATAGTAATTTATTTAGTAGTTTCATGCTCATAATAAATTACTGGAAAAGCAAATTCAATAAATGTCATCTTATTACTAGGATCTAAAATAACAGCAATAGAAAGCAATAGATTGTTACTACCCCAATATTTGTTAAACTTTTGCTGCATTCTTTGGGCCATGTTTTTCATCCAAGGTTCTACACTTTCAGACTTTAGATAGAGAATTTCTTTGATGTTATATAGTTCAGGAAGGAACAAATTTGCTGTTGGATATTTAGAACCTATAATAAAAAGCAAATAGTTGTATTATATAACAATAATGTATGATAGTTATAATATAAATAAATTTAATTGTATAATAATTTATCTGAGATAATTTTGGTAACTAACAAGTGGATTTCTCCACTTGTAGTGTAGTGGGATGGAAGGTGTGATGGAAAGTGTAAACGGAGATGGAATCCCCAAGTGTCGGTCTCAAGGATGGCAAATCAGAGTAATTAGTGTGCAAGACAATCGTAGCAATGCATTAATGAAAGTAAACTATGTGCAAGAAGGGTTTATTGAGATACATATATACAATGGTAGATAATATATAAAGGTAAAAACAACAAGCAATATTTACAACGGGGAATTGGAGTGAATTGACTCGTTCTTATGCATTCGTTGGCCTAAAGTAGACAAGAGGTCGTGTAATGCTAGACTATCCTAGGGGAGAACTATGGCACCTACACTAGGTTACGTAGAACCTAGGCTCTCACTTCCTAAGTCAGGTGAGGGCATTCTATCGAACACACATGGTGGGTGGTCTACCTTCCCCTCCCAGGCCTAGCCCTCTTGGATCGTAGGACAAGGATTGGATTGAGTAAGACTTCATGGAATTGCATTCTCATGTTAATTCCACTCTCTCATACTCTTCTCCCATTGGAACTCTCAATGAGGAAAGAAACAATACATAACTCATCAACAACATAATATTCTAGGTCTAGCATTATAGCACATCTCATCAATCAAGCCATACAAATCATGAATGCATAATTAGTCATCAATTCAATCCAATTCCTACAAGACTAGCCACTCAACATTATATATTGAAAACACAAAGCAAATAGATCAAGCTAGCAATATAGAGTATGGAATTAAAGATGAAGATGAAGAGTTTACCAAGCTTGAATCACAAAGTGAGATCAATCCTTGAACAATTGAAGATCTTCAAGTGACTAGTTGAATCTAGGTCTAAACTAGAGAGAGAAAATATAAAACTAAGCTAAGAAGTGTTTAAATGAAATATAAAATGATAGCTAAAATTGATCCCTAAAATAGTCCCCCTACAAGCCATTTAAATAGGCTGAAATTTGTAATTTTCGCGCAAACCCAATCCACTAATTTTCCCATGCGCGTGGGGTGGATGCGTGGAACTTTTTGTTCCCGATCCACACACGTGGGCTGGATGCGTGGAAATTAGCCATTTTTGTCTTCATTAGAGTTGTAGCCCTTGAAGTTATCGTTACAATGACACTTGAATCACCTCATTTGGACACTCCTAACTCAAGATATGCTCAAATTACCGAACTGTCGCTGGAATGCCCTTCTTTGAGCTCAAAACCTTCAAAAACACTAAAGTGCACAAGTTTATGGTCATTTGCAACACATTAACACATTTCATAGCATTTACATCATAAATCACTCACAAAGTACTTAAATTAAGCATAATACAACCCCTAAATGACCCATAAAAGGTGGTGTTTTTGGCACTTATCAGTAACATCATTGAAATGCACTAATAAAGATCAAATCTCTTCAACTCTATACCAATTAATCATCATCAGAAGGCAAGCATTTGTAATTTGGATCAAAGTTGATACTGAGGGAATACTTGCTTGAAATCCAAAGCACAAGACAGCATAGCAAATGTTGCATTCCACCTAGTGCAACAATCTAAAATCAACTTCTTGCTAGGCACCTGAAGTTGTTTGCAAATCTCATTAAAACTATGCAATCGTTGAGGTGATGCACTAATATACTTGACACTATCTCTGACTTTTCAATGATAGACTTAACCTCAGAAAGGTCATCTCGCACAAGAATGTTCAATATGTGTGCACAACAACGAACATGAAACAACTTACCATCTAGTGGCAAAGTTGCATGAAAAGAAAGAGAGCCATGCAACAACCTCACAGGTGAATCATTATAGGAAGCATTATCTATTTATCTACCATGATTGTCCACACTTTCTCTTCAATACCCCTTCCTTGCAAGTATTTGTATATTGCATCACAAACACATGTACCGGTATGCAGGGAGAAGCACATCAACAAAGTTTAGAACTCTTTTTTGCAACTTACTATCCATGTCCACAAAATGAGCAGTTATCACCATGTATTGAATGTTTTGATTTGATGTCCATATGTCAGTTGTGATACTAATTTTGTCAACCAAATTCAACAACCCTTGTACTCATTTCTTTTCTAGCTCATAAGTTGAACAACAATCTTTTTTTGTTGTTGTTCGACCAATTTGCTCATAATATAGATTTGCAGTTCGCATGATTATGTTGAAGATTTCATACTCAACAAAGGAAAATGGTAATTCATGAACCATAATCATGTAAGATATAACATCTCTCATCCTTGCTTGATCATACTTCCAACTCTGAACACCACTAATACTCTCTTATTTTTGTGTCGCCTCACCTTCAAATTCTATGATTTCCACATTTGTATGTTGGATTTCCTTCTACTATCTCAATAGGTATTGTTTGAAGAACCAACACTTGGACTTGAATATTCATCAATTGTACGTGTTGTAACCTTCGTAAGCTATAACTTTATAAACAATACAAACAAGTAATTAAAAAATGTATACAATATTCTTTCTACAATGAAAAAAAGAAGAAGAGAATACAAAATACTACGATATTGACACAGTACAATATGTTATATTGTTCTTCTTCATCTTGTCCAGTTGTCCAACAAGCTTAACAAGAAAATTCAAAGAACAAATAAATACACAAATACAATGTCAAAGTGGCATACTAACTCTAGAGTGAAGCTAAACTCAATAATCTGTATAAAAAATAGTAAAAAAATTAAAAATACCGTATGTGTTTCTAAAGCTTCGATGACTGAAAGAACAGGCATGCAAGGAGATCCTGGATGAACAAGATTTATTGTAAGTTAATACAAAGTATTTGAACCTTAAGCACAATAAACTTAATGACGAATAAAATGAGAATTCTAATCTCTTTCTTAGCTTTCAATAAATACCAGAAAAAACAGTATATTTACATAGCTATTCATATATTAGCATAATACAATAAGAAATTAATTATACTTAACATAAGAACAATGATTGAATAATAACCACTTAAATAATTTCAGAATTTAAAAAAAAAAAAAAAAAACTCCATTCATTGAAACAGGATAACATAAACCTCACCTAGCTTCCCGACCCATTCTCTCTCTAGTGGTCATCAAAGAAAGGAAAATTAGAAAAACAAATAGGAGAAAAAAAAAAAAAGAGCTGCTAAGATTGCATTACAAAATTATGCCACTTGGTCAATGTTAGCAGCTACAGATTTGCAAGGAAGTTTAGATCAAATCATTTAAAGCTTTCAAATATATCAAGTACATACAACCTAATGATAATCATCTTTTCAAATAGATCAATCTTTACTTGAGGGGTAGTTGCTGGAATGGAGGAGACGACGGTCGGAGATTATGGCTATGGAGGTGGTAGCTATAAGGAAGAAGAAGCAAACGAGGTAGTGTACTTGTGGCTGCGACTTTGCGAGCGAGAGTGTGAGGTGGTGTCGTGGTGGGTGCGAGAGTGAGGAATAGAGGAAGAAGACAAGAAGCAAAACCTAAATGAATGAGATGGCTAAATTACTTTATTGCCCGGGTAGAATTATATATATATATATATATATATATATAGAGAGAGAGAGAGAGAGAGAGATTAAGAATCAAATGAGGACACTTTCTCTCATGAGGAGTGTGGATTAATCCTGACCGTGTATATGGAGTTGATGTGTGGTTGAGATTTATTTCCTTTTCTTTTTTTAATATTGCACGGATGGGTGTAGGTGGGGTGTTTTTAGTCATTTGATTTTATTTTCCATTCATTGTTTAATTATTTTAGGCTGTTATGCTTGTTTTTAGGGTGAGTAATTAAGGTATGATATGATTCTCATAATCACATTGCATATCACTGTGATTTTCCAACTTCATTGTGTATGTTCCTTCTTATTAGCGAAAGTTTTCCAACTTCACTGTGTTTTCGACGTTGGGTTCATTGTGTTTGTGATGTGTGGTTTTCAGGAGTAGTGTTACATAGTTGAGTTTGCATTACAGATTATTTTAGTAGTACTGAAAATTTTGAATATTGATGAATGGGTATGAAATTGTTGAATTGTTAGGTATTGGCATCACAGATGGAAAGAGTATTTATGGGAGAGAATGGAGAGCAAAAACCAATCTTCTACCGATTCTCATTGCTTTGTTCGCGCATAGCTGATTCTCATTGATTTTTCATGTATTTCATTGATTTTTTGATGAGGGGTTTGCTTGCTTCCATTGTTGTGCTTGTTTGGGATCGTTTGGTGCTATGGATTCGCCAGGTATGTCAGTGTTTTCGTCATTATGGAGTGATTCTGTACGGTGCATCGGTGTTCACTGTAATTGTGCATTTACGGCGTGTTCGTGTTAGCATCTTGTGTGATCGGCGGTAGGGTTGTGCATGGTGTTAGGGTTTATGTTTGCCTTAGGTGTGTACGATTGTGTGTTTTTTATCGGGACATGTCATTGGTTTTGTCTTTATTCATTGTGTTTGGGTTTTGGTGTGTGCATTCTTGATTTCTGTATTTGTGCATTAATGGAATGATGTTTTTTTATCAATTCGGCTGCTGTACAATTTTTTGTTTTTTCCTTTTTGTTTTTTTTGTTTTTTTTGCATTTTTCTGTTTGTACTTTGTATGTTAGGTCTTCTTCTTCTTCTTTTATTTATTTATTTATTTATTTATTTATTTTTGCGCTTTTCAGTTTGTATGTTACGTGTTTTTTGTGTAGGTGCGTTTGCTGGTATTTGACGAGTGTCTTTGTGGATGTTTGCTTGAATTTCGTTTAATCCATCGTACTTCTTGATTTGGTTATTTGTGTGTGTAGGGCAGTCTGAATCTGTACAAGGTTGTATTATGGACGTGTCTTCAGATGGGATAAAGTATTGGATGCCTACGTGTGATGAGGCTGGCTATTAGGACTTTTATAGGCCATTGTTTTGAGAGGCTTGAACATGGTCTCGCTTTTTATCGGCACTTCATTTTGTTATAGCATATTTCTTATGTTTCACTAAACCATACAATAGTAGTATTTTGATCTTGGGGTTTTAATTACAATTTGAATTTCACACTCGTCTATTCATTTGCATACAGAAATATGTGGTGCTCATTATTTTTGCCTTTTTAAAAGAAATATTAACAGTGCAATTTAATGCACATACAGATGTTTCCAATTAATTTACACACATGCACATGCAGGCTAAGAATGCACATGAAAATAAAACAAAAATGCACTGACATCTCAAGCACAAATGCACATTCCATAAATCAGCATTTTGGCCATCTATAATCTATCGCACAAATGTTGAAGCTGGAAATTAACACTGGTATGGACTTGTGATTAAATCAACTATACAATTATCAATCCAACTGCCCAGATTGCACATTACAGTACATAGGATCATTTGTTAAAACTTATCCCCATGTATGCCTTTTGTACATATCACACTGTAATGCATCTAAATGCACATTCACTTTTAACAAATACACATGTATATGAACTCAGTTTTGGCGTAGTAGTTCCACACGCAGCAAAAAAAAAAAAAAAGGTTAGATACAGAGGACAGAAATATACCATCTAAAGCTGAGCAGTTACATTCCTACCATTAATATTTATGTGTTTAACAATATGCCACTGTCCGGTGGCTTCTTCAAATTCTATTCAAAATGCATATTCAAACACAACAAAAAAAATAAGTTGGTTGTCAATGTCACGTGGCTCACTAATCACCACACACAGACCAATTATCTCATACCACCACGGTCAAAACTTTAAAAAAAAAAAAAAAAAAAAAAAAAAGACATGTCCAAAAAATCAAACGTTCCGCACATTTCATTGTCTCAATAACCAACTGCGCTGCCTTTCATCCATTCTGCTGCCGTGCCGTGAAATAGTTTTGTTCCCTTGTGTTCTTGCTACTTGGACTGGAGGGGACTCAAAATCATCATCGGGATTCGGCCCACTTGGTTGAGCTTGCTGATTGTTAGTGAATTTCTACTTCTTGGCTGCATATGCTCATCAAGTCACGTAAAATTCAGATCCACACTATTAAATGGCGGCAAGATGCACACTGCATTTATTCACCACATATCCAACCACATAGATGCACAGACCTGCTTAACTAATGCTCAACATAAAAACCATAATGCATACACTAGGACTCCAAATACACCCTGCACAAACATGCTCTATACAATTTACTTCATATGCAAACCATAAAAAGCACAATCAAGCTCCACACATACATACTACAAGAAACTACAAGAAACGCATAATTCTTAAAGATAATAATCAAGCTAGCACATTCAGCATTCGCTAAGATCAGATCAACACTATTAAATGGTGACAAGATGCACATTTTTTTAAATCACCACATATTCAACCTCATAGATGCACAATCTTAGTTAATGCTCACTATAAACAAACCACAATACACACACTAGGATATCCTTTCCCCACCTTTTTCTTTCACTGCATAGTCAGTTTAGATTTAGTGTTCTCTTCTTATTTGTGCATTCTCTGTCGCTGCCCTATCGCACAAATAACTAATTCTCCGCCAAGGCAGACTCACAGCATATCCAACGCCATCCAAAACCAGTAAAAAACCCAAAAATAAAAAAAATAAAAAAAATTGAACCCATTGAATTCAGCCTTCACAAATCAGTTCCCGGACTCCAACCCGTCGTCCCCACCGTCAATTTTCCGGCCTCACAGACCCACCGTCACTCCAATGGACTGACATCCAGTCGCGAACACCGCCACCCAGTACACCGCCACCCAGTACGGTCTCTCTCTCTTTTTTTTTTCTTTTTTTTTTTATTAAAAAAAAACACAATAGTAATGACAAGCAATTTCATAAACATTTAATCTCATATTTCAGGCATTCGATCAAAATAAAAAATAAAAAACAAAATCATAATAATATTTTATGTATTCTTACGGATTCTACTCGTCGCTTCAATAGACGTACGCCGGTGAATTTTTGATTCTCCGTCGGCCATATAGCTTGCGATTGTGTTGTAGCCCACTAGTCTTCACGCCTCGTTTGTGCAATCATTTTTCTCTCAGTTGAATGTGCAATGTCGACATCCCTGTACACATTCTGCGTTTTAACCCTAAGCGAAGAGACCCGAGTAATTCGTTCACTCCGTTCTGGTCAATGCACATCCATTTATCCAATTACCCCTTTACCCCAACAATAATTACATCGAGCGTTAATAGCCTTATTTACTGGGCTTTTAATTTTCCCATTTGTGCAATCTGTGCCCTTCGATCGTCCCATCCGATGGATGTCATTAAGAGTTTTTTGCACTTTTGGTCCCACGACTATAGTGGCACTATCAGAACTGATCCACGACTTTCAGACCTTGCAATTTTAGTCCACGATTATTGTTTTTTTGGCAAAAATGGTCCTTCCGACCACTTTTCCGTCAAAATTTCACCGGAGTAAAATTTCTTCATTTTTAAGAAGGCTAAAGTTGACATGTTTAAGAGGCTTGTATTACTGATTGTTGGCTGCCATATTTTGCAATAAAGAATTGTTTTTTATCTAGGAAGAATTGTTAAGGGAAATGTCAAATTTAGCCCTCTTAAAAATGAAGAAATTTTACTCCGGTGGAATTTTGACGGAAAAATGGTCGGAAGGATCATTTTTGCCAAAAAAACAATAGTCGTGGACTAAAATTACAAGGTCTGAAAGTCGTGGATCAATTCTGATAGTGCCACTATAGTCGTGGGACCAAAAGTGCAAAAAACTCATGTCATTAATCCACAATCCTCACCTAAGGCTCTATCCCCACTTGAACCTCACCCATATATATATATATATATATATATATATATATATATATATATATATATATATATATATATATATATATTGTTAAATTACTTTGTGAACATTATTAAATGAACACTAAACGAGTCTGTTCATGAACATTATTAAATGAACACAAACGAGCTTGTTCACGGAGCTGTTAACAAATAAGCCTACAATTGTTTCTACTCTATTCGTTTATGAATCGAGCTCTAAAATTTGTTAATTTATGTTCGTTTACCTTAATAAACGAACGTCTACCAATCACGAACACAATTAGTTTACTGAAAGTCCTGTTCGCTAACATCCCTAATCTTCAAGGACTACATCACAACCCGTTAAAACCCAAACCAAAATATCTTTCCTACTTCTCAATTGAACTGCACGACATAAGCTAGTTTTAATCTTAATTCAAATACTAGTCCTAATAAACCTATTCCCTAGGAATCCTTGGCAAATTTTACTGTGGGCCATGGTTCAAAACGGTGTTGTTTCTTTTAATGAAAAGAAACGGCACCCGTTCTGTATAATTAGTTCCGTTTGTATAACATATTCAATTTCATTTTATATACATTGTATTTTAATTTCAGCACAACTAAAGTTTTATTTTATTTCAACTACAGTTTCATTTGACATTATACATACAATAGTCTTATTACATTGAGACCTGTTATTGAATTTCATTTTATACACATTGTAGTCTTATTACAACATCACTAAATTATAATTCTAATTCAACTACAGTTTCATTGGACAATATACGCTCAAATATGTGAAACCGTTATTCAGTTTCAATTCATTTTATATACATTGTAGTTTCATTACAACACAACTAAAGTATCATTTTGATATAACTACAGTTTCATTTGACAATATACACTCAATATGTGAGACATGTTATTCAGCTTCTTTTTATACATACTGTAGTTTCATTTCAGCAAAACTAAAGTATCATTTCAATTCAACTACAATTTTATTTAACAATATACACTCAATATGTGAGACATGTTAATCAATTTCATTTTATACATATTGCAGTTTCATTTCAACACAACTAAAGTACCATTTCAATTCAAAGTACATTTTTATTTGATAATATAAACACAAAATGCGAGACAAGTTATTCAGTTTCATTTTAGATACATTGTAGTTTTAATTTATTTTGTTCTGAATACACCAAAAATATGGAATTTGTTAAAATTTAATGGTTGTTGTTTCTTTACTTAAAGAAACGACACCATTTTTAGACCATGGTCCACACAGCTGTGTGGACCATGGTCCACCGTATAACAACCGGGAACCCTCAAGCCAGGCTAGGAATAAAGAGTGGTTTGCAACTAAGAGGGCCCTCTTGCATGGATCGTTATGCTGTGCATCCGTATGCACCATGCATGATGCATACGGATGCAAAAACGATGTCGTTTTATTAAAAACGCGCATCCCCCTTTAAAAAAATCAGTTTCGATTCGGTTAAACCTTTAAAAAGCGCATAAAAAAACGCGCATCACACTTGGTTAACGGTTAATCTTTTAAAAAGTTTGGTTAAAACGATTCGGTTAACCGATTGTACATCCCTAACTATGAATGGACTAAAGCTTTAAAGAGACCGTTGTTTTTGGGTGTGTGTCTCTTTTCTTATTATCTTCATTGAGCTATCTTTATGAGTTTATCGCTGTTTTATAGAGTTTTATTTGTGTCCCTCTTTCTTTATTTTCATTTTTATTGTTTTTAAGAGATGATTTTCTTTGCTTTAAAAAAAAAAGAAAACGATTAATTTTCTTTAAAATTCATGGAGCTATGGGGTATGGACAGAAATAACATCTCGGTGGGCTTGCAGGAAACCCGAAGCGGCAATAACATTTTGGTGGGCTTGCAGCTGGGTAGGTAGCCCATTGAGGTAATGGCATCTCAGTGACCTTGTAAGTTGAGTAAGCAATCCAAAGAGGTAACCACCAATCGTTATATCCTACACCACGGCGCACATAGCACTGTGCGCCGCACGCCTCCCAAAACGACGTCGTTTTGGAGTAGTGTTGGGAGGCGCGGTAGGAAGTTGCTGAGATTATGTGTATTTGTTCACAACGTTATGTGTATTTGTTCACAACATTATGTGTATTGGTTCATACAGTTATGTGTATTTTTTATACAATTATGTACATTCTTTTTATACAATTATGTACATCCGAATCAGAAAATTTGTGTGTATTATGTTAAGAGTTGATGTGTATTATGTTAAAAGTTTATGTTTATTATGTATTATGTTAGATTATGTGTATTATCTTTTAAAAAGAGTATGTATATTTTGTTATATAATTATGTACATTCATGTATAACATTATGTGTATTCTAGTATAACATTATGTACATTCTTGAACAGCGGGTTTTTTTTAAAGAAAAAACTATTGCCATTCACTGGGGCGGGAAATTTCAAAAAAAAAAAAAAAATTAAAACGACGTCGTTTTGCATCTGGGCACATAGTGCAACGCGCGCTGTGGTGTAGGATATAAATTGCCGGTAACCACATCTCGGTACGCTCGCAAGCTAGGTAGGTAACCTAAGGAGGTAGTAACATCTTGGTGGGCTTGCAAGTTGAGTAAGCAATCCAAGGAAATAATAACATCTTGTAGGCTGGGAAGGTAACCCATGGAGGTAATAACATCTTGATGGGCTTACATGTTGGGTAGGAAGCCCAAAGGGGTAATAAACATCCTTGGTGGTTCGTAGGCAGGGAAGACACCTCAAGGAGGCAAAATGCCAAAAAATTAGTTGTCGATTAGGCCTGCAAGCAGGGAGGGCAGCTCAACACTTCTTATTGGATCCACATGTAGGGAAGGCGGTCCAATGGGTTCACATGAAGAAAAGTGGTCAAAAACATCTTTGGCAAGCTCGTAGATAAGGCCCGGCCCGTAGGTAGGGAAGGCAGACAAAAAATTCCTATTGGAATGCGTGTAGGGAGACAATCCAATGGGTCCACTTGTATGGAAGGTGGCAAAAATCATTATTAGGCCCGTACTTAGAGAAGGTTGCCCAATAAACGTCACATGTAGGAAAATTAATAAAATTTCTATTAAACCCATATGTGAGAAATGTGGTCCAATGGGTCCGCATACAGGAAAGATGTCGAAAATCCTTATTAGGCCCACATGCAGGGAATGCTGCCCAATAAAGGTCATGTGGCAATCGAGCCCACATGTAGAAAAGATAATCCAATGAGGCTGCATGTAGGGAAGGCAACCGAAGATCCTTGGTGGACTCGCATGCAATGAAAGCAGTTCAAGGAGACTTCATAAAGAAAAACTTTTTTTTTTCTTTTTCTTTCTAGGAAGGTGATTAAAGCGAAGGGTAAAGAGCTAAGTCATCCTAGCAAACGTCACATAGGGAAGGGCAAATTATTGAATGGACCATGGTCCACACAATGTTACGTGGACCATAACAAAAAATACATTTTTAATATACTAAATGTACATTATTTTTATATTGAATGTACATTATACAATATAATGTATACTCAAAACAAAAATAATGTACATTCCCTGAATACAATGTACATTGTTTTTGTACTGAATGTACATTATTTTTATACTGAATGTACATTATTTAACAGTAAACAAAATATGGTCCATACAATTTGTGGGGACCATGGTCCACACAATAATGATTGCATAGGGAAGGCGGTGGGCCCCAAGATACCCAAAAGGGAAATTTTTTCATCCTAGTGGCCCAACATGAATCAAGTAGGCCTTTAGGGTTTCCAAGAAGGAGAATTTAAGGCACAAGATTCTTACAGTTATCTAAAAATGAAACAGGTGGGCCCATGAAGCCCTAGTAAGAGTTGGTTGGGCTAGGACCTTGCATGGAGCAGTTAGTGCAGGATGAAGGTCGTGAAGGAATACAATACATAGGAGGAAAAAGAAGAAGACAAAGGGAAGGTTTTGTTTTGAAGCATCCGGCAATCTAAACAACGGTTAGAGCCTGTGGGGTCAAGGTCGAGAGTAAAGCTCGAGAATAACTGGTGGCGATAAGAAAGTTCCAATTTGACTGGATGAGTGTAGATGTTGGGATGCGAGAGCATGATTTTAGAGTATACTACTTCCTCTAGTTGTCTAGATAGCAATAAGAAGTGTGTGACTTTTGATGAAGCCATGGGGCATTGGCCCAAAGATAGTTGGACTAGAGGGTGGGGTTTATGGAGTTAATTGATATTGTGGCCTAAAAAGTTGCATGATTGAAGTTAATCATACACTTTACAGAAGGAGAAAAAAAAACACTAGGACTCAAACTTTGGACTTACATAATTAGCTA